GCACACGCCCCGCACACGCCCCGCACACGCCCCGCACGCCCGTTCCCGCGCACGCACGCACACACGCACGCACGCCGGACTCTGCCTGAGCGCCGGCTCAGCACTAACACCCCGACGGCCGGACAGAAACGGGCAGAGGACACGGCGAGAACCGCTCACCGAGATGAGTTCCTCTCAGACACGGAACCGGCCTGGGCTCGGCTCCCAGCAAGGGAAGCGCAGACTAAAGCTACGTCACAGACTCCTCTTTACTTTCCAAATGAGCGGAGACGCTGGGTGGCTGGCGAGGCTACTGCGGCGGCCGTGGGCGCACACGCGCGTTGGAAGGGCAGGAAGGACGGGCTCCCTGCGCCTCCGCAGATGCGCGCGAGTCCACCCGCCGCACCAGGCTCGGCCCGGCCCCAAGAAGCCAGCGTGAGCCGTGGCTCTGGCCTGCGCACCCGACAACGACATGCGAGGCTACATGGGTGGCGGCAGGAGTGCTGGCTCAGAGGATGACACTCTCCGGGGACCCCCGGCCAGACGCGCCCACGGGCTCCCCACCCGGGAGGCACCAGGGAGGCTGCTTCGCGCTGAAGCAGAAGAGCATCCCTGCACCCTGGCTCGGCAGGGTCTGCACACCCTCCATCTGGTCCAAAGGCACCAAGAAATCCTCCCAAACCCCCTGAACACGTCAGGCACACCCCGGAGCCCCCACTTCCTCCTTCCGCAGAGCCCCCCACGCCGCCCTGACCTGGGACTCCAGGGGACGCAGGCTCAGGGAGGCAGAGGGGAAGGGAGAGGACCCGCGGCTTCCCGCACCCAGCCCGCTCGGCCTCGCTTCGCCAGCAATGGACCACGCGTGTCCACTGAGGGAGCGCTTGTGATGGTGACAGCCCGCGAACTGACCACTGCGTCCAGCCGTGCCACGGTCACGAACCCCACGGGAGGCTTAACTGCACCCCCCCACCCCTGCTCACAGACAAGGAGATGGCCGCACAGCTCATCGGAGGAACTGGACGGGGCCTGTCGCACGGAGTCTGCGGGAACAGGCCACTCCGGTGACACAGGGAGTGTCTGCCGGGGGCTGAGGCTCACGGACACCGACTCAGATCCCGCTTTGGGGGGGTCCACTAAAACCAGGAACACAGACCCTGTGTTTTTGAGTTTTTGTTAATCACGGTTTTTCATTTCTACAGAAATCCCAGAGCGGGGAACAGACGGAGCAAGTACTTCTTCGAGGTCATGGATGCTGACGAGGTGGCCCGCAGCCGCCACGAGCTGTTAGAGCCCTCAGAGGGGCTCGGCTGTCTCAGTGGGGCCACAGCAGGGCCAGGGCTCGGGCTCAGTCCTTCCCAACACACACTCATTCTGTTGGCCCAAAGCCTCTTCGCCACGAAGACCACAGACAGCCTCATTCGCATGGAATCAAACCAGTGAAACACACCGCAGTGACGTGTTCGCGCGTAAACAGTCCTTCCCACCTTGTTCCGGTCTGTTCTCCAGCTCAGTCTGGAAGCTCGAGGACATGGCGAACCCGCCAAACCACGCACATTCCACTCAGCCAGCCCTCCTGGCCGGCCGACAGCACCGGCCCCCGTGCCTGAGACCAAGTCCCCACTCACCACGTCCAGGCCCGGAAACGCCGCCCGGCCTCTGGCCTCAATGGCCCCTTCCATCTCGTGCATGGCGTCTCGCAGGACAGATGTTACGGAGTTGCTTGCAGACTCAGGAAACATCTGGCAAAGATTATATAACTGCCTGTTCATCAGAAACACAGGTCAGGGGAAAATGACCTCAGATAACGAAATCAGAAAGAAAGCCCGCAAACCTCACGTTCACCATGCTCCTGCGAAGTCACCTGCTGGCTGAGCAAGTCAGCCCAGAAGCCCCTGGACGAACCCACTTTTCCTCTTACTGGTCTGGCTGCCCTTCTTGGCAGTCGGGATACTGCTTCTAACACGTTTGTTTTATAACAATCTATATGTACTTTGGCCACCTCCTAGAAAGTCTAACTTCTCAACATCGACGGCAGAAGCATAATGCCGTAAGAAGCACATTCTCCGAGCCAGGCTCGGCGGACGGTTCCAAGGTGCCATCCACAGGAACTTACTGGTTCCTCACAAGCGCTGTGGTAACGGCAGAAGGTGGCATGGGGACGTGGGCTGCGCAGCATGGGGCTGGCCCCAGACAGGCCCCTATGGGGCCCTGGCGCTCACTAACCCTCAATCTACCACACCTCCCTCCGGCCAACGAGGGGCCAGGAGCCACGCTCCAGTCTCTGCCTTCACGGGGGACCCCGGGGAGCGAAGGCTCAGCCGTCCCTGGGCAGGGCGGGAACGGGAAGACCAGGGGGGCTGGCCTCCCTGATGCTCGCAGCACCAGCCTGTCGGGTCCCACTGAAGCGTGGACCTGGAGCAGGCGGGTTTCTGGACAATACCAGGACACAGTCTACCACGTGTCCCAAACACCCGTCGGCCTGTCTGAGCAGAGCGTGAAATTTCATTGGCGAATGAAACACACAATAAGCCTCCAAACAGCACGAGCAAGGATGAAGTGTTCAACTGTCTGAAAGCCGACTCATTTGTAGTTAACAGCATGTCCGTCCCCAGGGTGATGGGAGCAGTGTGCTAACGCCACTCTGAGGGGGCTGTGGTCACTGAAATCACTGTAGCTAGCATATGCCAGGGGGCCTGTTTACAAAGTCAACCTTACTAACTCCGCGACGTACTTTTATGACTGCAAACAGGGAAAGAGCTGTTCACCTCTGCCCCGCATTCCAGTCAACCTGCCGTGGTTACTTACACAACCAATTTATCAATTACTCTGAGGTCTGGTGGATCATCTGTAGCCAAATCTCCAATGTACTCCAAAAGGAAGCCGAACAGTTTCTGCGGAAACACAGGTTGGGAGCAGAGCTCAGTGCCGACCCGCAGAATAAAGCCACCGGCTCACAGGGGGCCGTCCCCTGCGTCTGGCTAACATGTGTGCGCACGCGCCTCGGGGCCACTGACGGGAGCACCTTGCACAGCGCAGGCCAAGAAGCCGGTCCCACACCAGGAGGGGGTCAGCAGAAGGGCTTGGGGCGTGTGCTTCTGCAGGAGGGCAGACAGCACCCAGGTCTTCAGACCAAGAGCGCGCCCAGCCCTGTGCCTTATCCGTCAACGGGCAGCACTCGCGGAGAAGAAAAGGCACATTCCAAGTCCTCATCTCCCTGAAGGGCTCGCTCTCCGGCTTGAGGCCACGTGAGCCACACGCCCGGGGCCTCAGTCTCCCTCACCTGTGAGCGGAGGGCAACAGCACCCACTCCGGGGCCCGTGGTGGGGTCACGGCACGGGGCGCTCGTAGCCGCAGGGGGCTAAGGCGCACGCACCTCGGACACACAGACGGGGTGGGGGGCCGCCCTGACACTCCCAACACGGGGCACGTACTTCCAGTTTTGCTTTGTTTCCCACGGCGAGACTCGGATGGTTGCATGTTTGAATTCTCTCCACCACCACAAGCTGTTCCTCCATCGTTTTTCCTGATAATAAGGATTTCAGTTCCTCGTAGGATTCAGGAGCTGTCAAAAATGCAAAACACACTTAAAAAGAGAATCACGTTTCTGATCACACAGAGGTTGGAAATGAAACAGAACAGGGGTGATATCACTTCACCACGAGACAACTTCACGCGTATTTCAGACACGCTTTACCTCCCACCAGGACCACCGCCGCTGGATCTAACAGGTGCTCTTGCATGTCCTGGGGGAGAGGGGCGGTGGGACAAGCTACTGATCGGCGACCAGGCAGCAGACACTGGGTTTAGTGTCCACACTGGCCCAGAATGAGCTGGAAGGAGCCATGTGGCAGAGTGCTGTCACCACCCAGACTCCCACCGATCGCAGGCCATGCCCGAGGGAGCCAGCCTCTGGAAGTGACCGTAAGTCACGGGACAATTTAGGACTGCTCACTAGAACTGGATGATTCTTCTCCACGTCCCAGACCACACAACACACAACATTCGCTGTAAGGGGTTATGTGGCCCATAGGAAGCCTCCTCACAGGTGACCCCCATCTCCCAGGCCCCGCCCCAGCTCTCTGTGGCAGCCACATTTCCACCACAAAAGGCTGGCCATGGAAAGAGCACGGCGACCCCCAGTGGAAAGGCGTGTCGTCCTCGTGCTGTGGCTGGCCCACGAAACTGTCCCCAGCCACACGACAGAAGCTGGCTAACACTGGCCAGACACTGCTGAGGAGGACAGTGCTCCTCACAAGCCCAGACGTTATGGGTCCACGTGCCCAGAAGCGCACCCTCGGTCCTAGCGAGGAAGACTTGTCGCTAGGTCACAGAGGTCATCCCAACATGTAAGAAAAGCCAGCATCTGTCTACCTGCAAATGTATAGGGCAGCTCGGTTCTGGCAGGTTCTCGAGCTTTGTGACCATCGCTTGTCATTCTTTTTCCCGGGGCTTGCCGGGGCTCTCTGTCTGGCCACCCACAGTCCTCCTCGCTCTCTGCATCCGATTCCAGGTCTAAGTGTCCCTCGGGGTCACTGCTGTCCTCTGGGTCCTCCTCGCTCGGGTCTTCACCCTGTTCCTCTTTGCTCTTGCCGTCACTAGCTTCCCTGCTTTGCTCTTCCTTGATGCTCATCTTTCCATCCTAGGGTAGAGCAGGGGGACCACAGGCCTCACTACCCCGGGGGAACACCCTGTAGCGATGTCGGATGCTGCACACACAAGAAGCACGAGCACCGAGTGCCGCATCCACCCTCTGCACCGGCTGCGTGCCAGGCGGCGAGCTCCAGAGCCTCAGGGCCAGCAGGCCAGGGAACAGCTTCCTGATTCCTGCCGCCAGGGCTCCGGGCAAGGCTCAGCTTCTGCCACGGAGCATCAGGGACCCAAGGTGTGGCAGGCGCCCTGGTGGCCACGGGCTCCAGCGGCTGTGTCTGCAGCCTCCCACCACCGGCTTTGGGGCTGCGAAACGGTGGGTCAGCAGGGGCTTCCTGACACTGGGCTGCACCTGGAGGTGGCGGGACCTCAACACCTGGGGGTAACCCCTGACTACGCTCTCCTGCCAAATCCCCCAGTGTTCTGTGAGCACCCAGCATCTTGGATCCCCTTCTGCTCAACACTCCTGGCCTCCTCCTGTATTCCCGCCCTGAAACCAGGCTGATTCTCTGAAGGGGAAAGGGTGTAGACCTAACAGAGTTTTAGAAACTCAATTATTTTACCGGCTTCCGAAACAGCAGTGCTGAGCCTGCAGATAACCACACACTTACGAGTGGAGGAAGCCGATGTCGGCGAGCGAGGACACAGCACGAGGCTGGCGTGCCCCTTCTCCAGGTAGCCTGCCTGCAGGTGCGGGATCGGACCCGCCACGCACTCCCACACGCAGAGCACATGGGCGTTTTTACAAATTCAATTTCCATCTGGGATGAACCTCTCAGATACCAGAAACCGTGCTTCTGAATTCAGAGAGCAAGTAAGCCGGCGAAGGCAAACTCCTTACTGTGTAGGAAAGCAAGCGCCTGTTGTCTTTGTCCAGAACGAAGCCGTCATTTAGGTCGTCCGCGGACAGGTGCTTTGGTTTTCTAGCATCACCGGCCTCGTCCTCGCCACGCATTCTCCGCAGTCTCGCAGCCTGGGTGGGAAGGAAGCATGTCGTGGGAGGCACACCAGCCCTGCCCTCCTGCCGGCCATGGTCCCCGGGCCAGAGGCTCCGAGCCTGCCTTCTCCCTAGTGTGTAGGGACCTCCTACCGCACGCAAATGGAAACAAGTATCACAGCACAAGTGCGTCTAGTCACCTGGAAGGCAAGCCCGTGGTTCTAAGGTCTTTCTGGCTGAGCTACGCAGACTTCACTCCCCACCGCGCAGCCACGGAGGGGGCAGGCACGCCACGGGGGCTCAACCGCGCGGCTGTCTGCACACAGGCCGCCGGCCGGGAACAGGCCCGGGTGGGGCTGGACTAAAGGGCCACATACAGAACAGTGCGTCAATGGTCATTTTTGTTTTAGAGTAATGAAATTTTAAAAGCCTTTATTAAGGCACAGAAAATGAGCTGAGAAGGCCGTGCACTAGATTGTAAGCAGCTGTTCTGAGGTAAGGGGATTAGAGCAAACTTTCATTTATTTGGTGTATTTGGGGTATCATCTGCATTTTTCTTGTTTTTATATCAAAAAAAGGAATTTATTTATAGTAAAAGAAACTTTAAACAGTCTAAGAAGATTCCTTTGATAAAACAGCGCATCTGCAGCCCACCTCACAAAACGGAGAAGAAAGGCCTCAAACCCAGAACCCGCGGTGCCCCATCGCGGTCGCGGTCACACCGGTACCTCCAGCTTCTGGAGCCGATCCTGTTCCTCCTTTGCCAGCTCCTCCTCCGTCTTCATCCTGTTAGAGGGCTGGGCCTTCCTTTCAAGGCCCAGCTCACGAACCATCATGTCATACGCGTCAGGCTAGGGCAGAAAGAAGAAACTTTTCACTTTTAGTCGTTTTTTTAAATGATCTGCACAAGCAGCTTCCTACGTATCCGGTAACGTCTGGACATCATGAAGGAGGGAGACGAACCGTATCCAAGTCTTTCCTTCTTGAAAGAAAACTGTTCTAACCAATCTGCAGGACCCTTTAAGGTCACATAGGATTTTTCACTCCTGGGAAATTCTTCTCAGAACATACCTGCTTTAACAAAACTAAACATTGTTCATTAGGCATGAAGCCCACAAAACGGGCTGGGGTAAAGGTGGCAGCCACAGTGTCAGTGGCCCACAAAGGTGGACGGCTGGCCACGCGCTGTGGCCGTCTGGCGAAATCCTGGATACTTCCTAGAAGCCAGACACGCAGGTGAATGCCGCTTTTCCAACAATTTAGACTAAAAAGGATGTGGTAGGAGCCGTACACCGTTTGGAGGGAAAACTAAGTAACTGTATATATGGACGTGCAGACATGTGATGGGAAAAATCAAACACTGTCTGGAGAAGGCCTCCCCTCGAAGGATTTCTCATACCAGAAGCAACCGTTTTCTTTAGTTTAATTATCCAGGAGTAGATACTGAAGTCTCTTTTTGTCTAGCTCTACACGGACACCACACGTATCCGGAAATTCCACGGAAGCTCACTGGAAGACAGAGGAACTAAGAGAAAAGGAACAGGCCGGAAGGGACGCTGGCCTCCACCAGTGGAGGAAAGGTCCAGTCCACTTGATACGCACCTTGGGGTGCTCCTTCTTATCCCTGTTCTCGGACTGGGGAGTTCTGTGTGTCAGGAGAGTCTGGATTTCTTTCCAGTCTTGATCCAGCTTCTCTGTGAGCTCCAGGGCACCTTCCCGTTGTGCCTGTCTCTCCCTCTGCGGAGAGAGAGCAAGGTGGTGCATCCTGCCAGTGCGGGGCTGCGAGCGAGCAGCCAGAGTCAACGCGTTCGGATCAGCAGCACGAGACACCCCGAGAAATGAGTGTCTTAGGAAAGCGAAGCTACAAAATCTCAACACACAGAACTAAGTCCCTGCTATCAACTGTTCACCTGGATGCTCTGAGCAGTTTGCTGGTAGTAAAGACAGCGATACACGTCAACACACAAAGCCAACCAAACAAAGACACCCCCAAGTCCTCCCCAAACACAACAGACCGTGAGAAGTATACGCAAGACGAAGTGTAAAATATTCCTATTCAAAACGAATGCTTCTGTTAAAGTCACAGAAAACGTTAAACAGAGCCTAAACACACACAAGGAAAGAAGAGCCCGGGAGTTGTTTTGGTGAGGGGTCCCGGGCCAGAGCGCCCCACCGGGAGCGCTAACACACCTTCTCTCGCTTGGACTTTGCGATGAGCTCTTCGATGAGTTCTTTGCGTGACCTCGGCTTCTCCTCCTCTTCCCCTTGCTGCAGTGGGGTCTTCTTATGAAGGAGGCCACCACCGCCTCCGAAATGGGCAGCGGTCAGCTCGGCTGGGGACAAAGGGCAGGAAAGGCGTCTGTGAAGCTGGCGCTGGCGCACAGACCGGTTCCTGCACTGGTCCGCCAATGTTCATCCAAGCGCAGATTTGACAACCAATCCCATATTCAAGGAAAAAGTCCTCCCGCAGCGTAGCTGCACGAGACCACAGGCACAGCGGCATGTAAGAAATCCCCAGGATGAACCACCCCGAGAAAACCCAGAGCCATAAAACCCCCTGACTGGGACCCGACGCCTGGAAACACCAAGGCGCTACTAGTTAACTGTGTTCAAATCTCATGAACGATCAGCAAATGCAGTAAAACAAGGCGGAGTCTGCGTCTCGGGACAGAAAGCCCAGGATTGGGCCGCAGAGAACCTGCATCCCTCACGCCTCCTCGGGCAGGGGCTCCGAGACTGGAAGGTCCTGAGGGCAGGAGCCTGCACCTGCAGCAGGGGCCCCTGTCGGTTAGCCGGCCCCGTCACCGCGGCAGAAGAGAGAAAACACTGTGGGAATCATCCACTTGGGATGGACAGAAACCTTAAAAAACCCAGAATCTCAGATGAGAAAATGGAAGCTTGCATGGGAAGCAATTTCCCCCAAATGACCTGCCAGTAACAGAAACAGAACGTTCAGGCTGCTTTCCCACAGCAGGCCCACAGCCCTCGCCCCCTTGCTCGCGTGGCCACCTGTTCCCGGCCACACCTGCGCAGATGGATGTGCGTGCGGGAAGGAGAGGCCCGTGTATTGAACCGCCGACTCCGGCCGGGCTCTTGAGGCCGCCTGGCAGTGATCACCAGGGCCGAGGGTGCTCCACTCCCCCCGGCTCTCAGCGCCCCCCAAACCCCCCCAGAGCAGCCCTGGGGCTCAAGTGGCTGGGCTGTCCCTTCCCAGCTACTCAAGGAAATGACCTAAGCAACTCCACTGCCTTTTGTCCCAAATCAACTTTTCTTATTCTATCGGGTCATTATCGGATTTCTCTCCTGCTGAAGCGTTCCTCACCACCCTCTCCCACCACGGCTTCTGGAACCCCGCCTTCAGTCCTGACTCTCCCCAACTCTCCCATCACTCCCCTTGGCTTCCTGCCTCCCCTCTGGGGTGGATTCACCAGTTCTCATGGCTCCTATCGCCAGCAGCAAGGCCCCCTTCCCACTCCCTTCTGAAAAGGCTCTCTCTATGGGGTTTGCCCCCGAGCTCCAGGACTCAGCAGTGGCCCCCAATGCCCCACCTGCTCTTTTCCTCCCATCCCTAAGGCTGCAGCTCCCGGGACTCGAGGCCTCCCCCGGACGTCCGGCAACATTTCAAACTGCCCCAAGCCAGTGTGTGTCACAGGGTAGCCCATCTCAGTGACTGGCAGTCCCACGTTAGCAGGTGCTCCGGCTGAAACCCTGGGAACCCTCTGATCCCTCCCACACCTCCATCACAACGAGGTAAGAGCTACCTGACAGGATTGACCTTTACGATGAACCTCTCCCACTCTAGGGAGGACACCTCATCACGCAGCCAGACAAAACACAACGTACTTCCGGATGATGCGTTTGTGAAGTTATAAATACACGTATGCTCAAAAGTAAGAGCTTTTCTTTTCTAAGTTACCTGGGTTTTGATGAGCTCATAGCCAGATTCAAAGGATGCCAGGAAATGTCTAAGGAACAGCTGAGCCCCCAAGGCCCAAGGCTGGGAACACATGGAACCTGACTTCTCCCCTAGTGACCTGAGCATCACAGCCTCTTGTGCCGATAAGCCTGAGGCCACTCGCCCTGTGGAGACCAGGCTGTCAACATGAAGGTACCAAGCGCTTACCTTCATCACAGTGAGCTAGGACCACCTAAGTGACCACATTTAACAGGTAAGCATGCACAAAAAATCTCCAACAATGAACCATGCAAAGAGAAAGGCACAGAAGACGAAACCAGCAGACCGTCCCCTGGCTCCCCGTCCTCACCAGACAGCGTTCCGCGCTCCTCAGTGTCGCTGTCACTGTTGACAATGTCATTATGCTTTTCGACGTCTGCCAAAGACTGGCCGTAATGAGTTAATTCTTCATCTTCATTTAGGTTGTAGATGCTTTTTTTCTCATGTTGCCGCTGACAGAAGAAAAAAAAAATCAGCTTCCTAAAATTTCCAATCCATTTAGTAGCAAAACCCAGGTATTTTTCCACTATTTGTATAATGTGACAACATAGCCCAAGCACATCAGATTTTCTGGGTCATCTGAGCAATGATCCAGAGATAAACAGCAGCCACAGGAGGTAAATGGATCAGTGGGCTCACCCGAGCCATGGGCAAATCCCGCTAATGTTCCACGACCGACTGGCTCTCCACCCGACCGAGCCGTGAGCCCACTGCAGTCAAGAACTCAGGACACCATGTTGTCCTCGAGTCAAGATACTTTCCCACCAGGCTGGTGGCCAGATAAGGCGCCGCACTCGCCACCGTACCTTGTGTGGGGGGGTGCCCACACAAGTGTAAGTGAACGACGGGGTGACCACCTCCTTCTGCTTGGCTTCTGTGGACAACTGTGGCGTCAGACCCTCCTCCCACTGTCCTGCATACCTGCTGTTCCAGGGCAAACCTCTTCATCATCTTCTCCTCCGAGCTCATGTTGCTACTGTACTCCCCAAAGCGCTTATCTGTGAATACGTTGGACTTATCTCTTTCTTTGTATTCCTTCAGTAACGTCTGGGTGCGCTGGAAAACAGATCACAGAAAAATCTAGTGTGGGTCCCGGCAACTGTGAGCTCTTGATGGCTCGGCGATCTTGGTCCCTAAAGAGGAAATGCCCCCACAGGGGGACACATGATGGTTCCAATGAATTATAAGATGCCACTGTCACGGCCATTCTGGATGCCCGAGGCCACCGCCACCAACAGTCAAAAAAGGGCTAATCTACTGGCTGGAAAGACAGATCTCAGTTACTGAGGAAGCGGGTTGCCCCCATATAATGAAGGCAGAGAGGACTGTGTCTGAAGCTTGGGGGGCTCTCTAGGGTGTGCCTTGGACTTCTGTGCCCAGTACTAGAGGTTAAAGAAAAATAGCAGCAACCCAAAGAAAGCAGAACGATGAGTACGCGGAAGTCGCTCCGTCAGGTAGAGACGCCAGGGGAGCTGAGGTTCTAGCCGCAAGGAAACGAACAAGGGAGACGAACAAGGAGGTGAAAAGGACGCCATGCGTGTCAACTACGATTACACAGAGACTGTAGTAGGATTGCCCATTTTCTCTCTGTCACACGGACGCCTTCGTTTGTATACAGTCGATCCTTGCTCCTCTTGGATTCCGGATCTGCAAATCTGTCTACTTGCTAAAGGTTACTGGGACCCCCCCAACCACTACCCACAGCACTTTCGTGATCACCCATGTGTGTGAGGCCTACAAGGTACAGTCATGAGTGTGACAGCTCAGACTCGGGGCGGGGGGGCACCTAGCCTCTCTGTCCCCAGAGGCCTCACCTTCCCGCTGGCCCTTGCTACGGGGTTATGGGATCACAAGAGTTTATGCAAGACTGCTCAGGACAGAGCCGGGCACAGGTACTGCCGTCTGTTACATGCTCAACTCTGGGTTTGGGTCTCGGCACCCCCAACCCTGACCTGAAGAAAGTTCTGGCATGGTTCCTCGTCTCCGTTTTCTCATGTGTAAATGGGGATGATACCGGTACTTCCCTCATAAGGCTGACTGAGGATTCAATATACACTTCTTGATACAATGCCTATTCCACTGGGAGGGGCGACGGACACGTCAACTCTGGTTATCTCACCACCTGAGCGAGAACGGAGGAGCGCGACTCTGGGCCGCCGGATGGTGCTGACCACACCTGCAGTCTCGCTGTGCACGCAAGTGCTACCCAAAGCACCGCCCACTGACTGGAGCAGAAGACACACGGGACAGCGCGTTTACTTCTGAGGGACGGTCACCGATGAGAAGAACAGGCCCACCTTGCCGCCCCACGTGCCCCGACACTCACCGCACGCTCTACCTGCCCTGGATGACCCGAGTCCCCTCTGGACAGCTCTGAGCCCTCCCACCCCACGCTGTGCCACACACCCCGTGACAGGGGACAACGGGCCTTCATCCCCACCTGTAACATTTTGCTCACCCTTCCAATCTTGAGTGTGACTCCCTCTAGGAAGGAGTTTCTGATTTTCCTATCATACCTTTTGACTTGAGCCCCCAAAGCACCGGGGATGGGAGGAGACACCAACACCCGCCTCTGGGCCATTCACTGCCGGCCAGAGCACGGAGGTGACTCTGTCAGGTACTACAGGGATGAGCACCCTGCCCTACTGGGGCTGTAAGGCTTGGGAAAGTATCCGAAGTGGTGACTTGTGCTGGCCCCTGAGGGATTTGGGGGGATAAGACAGGACTTTTGGACAAACTGGGTTGCAAGAGGCAAAGCAAGGATAATAGGTTGTGGCCAGATTGAGAAAAGGTCTGAGAATGACAAGCTGAGAAACAAGAATAATGTCTAGTGTTTAGGCAACACTTAATATGTACTATTTAATCTTACAACAACCATTAGGGAAAGGATGGATATTATTATCCCTGCTCTAGAAATGAGAAAAAACGCTTCGCTGGTGGAAACAAATAGCTGCTCTGGAGCGCACGTCACCCGGTCCCCCATGGTCCCCCACGGCTGCCCTGGGGGCCTCATCAGCCCCGGACGTTAGTCTTGTCAGGTCCTTGGCAGTAAGGACGACACTCCCTTCAGTTCAGAGAAGGACTGGATAGCGCCCTGCATGGCAGAACACGGAGGACAGGCCCAGGAAGGCTGGGTTGGCAAGTCCTCACTGACCTTTAACCCCCAGCAGCTAGGAGGGAGCTTCAGGCTTCCCAGACATTCAAACCGAGTGAAGCCCAGCCCTTAGCTGAGACCCTGGGAACAGTGCAGGTCCCTTCTGTGCCCTGACTTTTCCACCCACCTTAATTTTTTCGGTAGGATACTATGTGTCTTACTGAATACTGTTAAACCCAAGAACACGTCTCAGAGGCCGAACATGGAATGCCACCTGCACAGAGGCTGAAAGGCGCAGAATACTCTGGGACGGTAAGCACAGAGGGTAGCGTTTCAGTCTCCCCGCGAGGGACACGGTGCTGTGCTTGGAAAGACAGACGCACTTGTTCTCCCAACATCCGTGACATCCCTGCCCTGAGAAGAAAAGGATGCGCGGCCCCTGGACCAGAGGCTCCAAGTCCCCGCGAGGACAGGCTGGAAGAGGCGTGCACGGGCGCCCCGTGGAACCGAGGAACAGGGGCACACGCGCGCCGCGTGTCCACCGAGGCCAGCTTCCCAGGGCCGGCTCCCTGCAGCGCGCGCAGGAAGATCGGGGGGACCCCCGGCCGGGGCACGCACCATCCTAACCACCGGACGCTGCCGGAGACCCCAGGGCTCTGGCGCTCTCCGGACACCCCCCACCCCGCCCCGCCGGCAGGTCCCCGCGGCGCGGCCCCCGCCCCTTACCTTCTGGATGGCCCGCGCGCGCGACACCCCGGGCTGTCCCACGGCATGGCGCGCCTTCCTGCCCAGCACCGGGAACTTCTGCCGGTTCACCTTCACTTCGAACGGGTTGGGGATGGGCCTCGCGCGGCCGCCCTGTGCCCCCGCCGGGGCCCCGGGGCCTTTCCTGCGCGCCGCCGCCGGCCTGGCCTTCCCCATGGCGCTCCTGCCAGCTCGCAGCCCCACTCTGCCAGCCGCCGGGCGTGCTCCCTCCGGAAACGCGTGCGGGCACCGGGGAGCCGCCCCGCCCTCGTCCCGCGAGAACCGAGCCGGCGAGAAGTACACGCGACCCGCAAGCTAGCCTACGCGCCTACAGGCGAGTGACTACAACTCCCAGCAGGCCACGCTCGCCGGACGCGCCTCCTCCTCCTCCCTGCGCGCGGCCTTCTGGGAGCGGTAGTGCGCCGCGCCGCACCCGTCTCAGGGCGCGGAGGTGAGGGGAGCGCTCGGGCTCCCTCTTCTGGGAGGCCGTTGGAGGGAGCCGGCAGCTCTGCGAGTAGGCGGAGGCGGCGGCGGCGGCAGTAGCAGCCGCCGCCGCCGGGGCGAGGGGCAGCCCCGGCCGGTGAGCCCCTCCCTGAGTTGGGGCTCGGCGGAGACTCCGGGCGGCCCGGGAGCCGGGCTCTGAGGAGAGAGTTGCCCGTGCCAGGCGCGAGCGATGAGGACGAGAGCCCGGGCCCCGGAGCGGCGGCGGTGAGCGCAGAGTCCTCCGCCGACCCCGCTGCCAGCTCCCCTCGCCTTAGCGACGCCCCCGCCGGAGGCCCGGGCCTTGAGGACGAGGGC